AGAATTCATGTATATGCATATTATTTACTTCTTCCAGTCCTGTGTTTGCGTCATAGGCCGTTGCAGGTTCAAGAAGGTCAACTTTGATGATATGTGAGCACGTATAATCAATGAACCTGATTGAAGGGTGGCTGTTTTCATACCTCTCTCTAGGACGTTTTTCTTTCCATTACGTTATCTCCGTTATCTTCCACACAGAACATTCGTCAGACTGCTGTGATGGGCAGAAACTGTTTTAGGCCCTTAGAGGCACTTCACTGAATAAAAGTTTCTACCACTATGGTGCTTGTAGTTTAGTGGAAGACAATAAAATAATAAACAAAATACAGAATTTTACAGTGATGACAAGTCGTGGGAAGTGGTAAGAGTAATAAAGCAAAGGCATAGATAGTGAAAAGAATATATGTGTGCAGAGCGCAGAAATTTGTGGAATTCAGTATCTCCTATTCAAAAAGCAGGAGATAAAGTGTCATCTATTGTACTAAAACAGAAAGCCTTTTCCTTTTCCAAGAATCTCTTTCTGGGAAAGATATGGCGAGTTTATTATTTGCTATATAATGCTGTCCCATATAGAGAAAAATTAAAATTTAGATCAGGCAGGGACATATATTGTGCAGTGCTCACTTTATTTTTTTTATTTAAATTGATTTATTTGCATTCATTCACTGTACATCATTACAACTACAAAATGAGATTTTCCATCCAGAGTACACTGTATATTGGCTCAATCAAGCACATCAGCATACATGTTATCATCAACAAATAATTATCCATTTCTTGTTTCCTATATGTTTTGCTTTTGTTTCCCCCTTCAGCCTTGATTCCCTATCTCTTACCCTCTGCCATCTCCCACTCTAAGTATAGTTGAAATGACACTTTGCATTTCCAAGGCCAAATTGCATTTTCTTTTTTTTCAGAAGAGCTGTTTGATCAGAAGGGCTGCACAAAATCAACTCGACTGTTTTTATTTCACTTCTTGGTGCATGCACATTCTCCCATCACTTCCCTCCTAGCTATGGACTTCCTTTCTAGCTTGCAGATGAGTAAAGGGTCAAAGGAGAAGGGATTGTGGTCACTGCCTTTCCATCTCCTCTGTCACCATTTCCAGCATAAGTGATTGTTTAATGCAGGGAAGTTGTACATGTGGGAAAAAAGGTGGTAAGTTTCCTTCCTCATTTATGTTTCTTAGATCAAACCTGACTTTTTTCTGCATTTGAAGCAAGTTCTGGTGCCAGAGCATGGCTTCTTGGGGCAGCGCGTGCTTCTACTTAGCGAGGCATTGCCTGTATTTGTTTACTGTGTGCTCACACTGACTCTGGCTGAATTCATGGGGCCGTCAGAATTTAGTTTTCATGAGCATCACACTAGAATTCTATGCAAATGTGTCTGAGGAAAAGGGTTTACTTCTTCTCATCACACATGTGCTCCACTGTCCTGTTGTTATAGGCAAACTAAGTGTACTCACGGTCAATAAAACTAGAGGCAGAGGTTGGAGAAGGGCATTTATTCCTGCAACTGTTTATAGGGAGATACGAGCACCACCAAACTCTCTCAAAAAGTGCAACATGTGCTCGATATTCATAGGCACAAAATACAAGCACATGCAAACTATTCCTCACTACATTCAAAGTCAGTCACTGGGTCCAGGAGTTGAACTGCAGTGGGACCTGTGGGTGTCCAATGATGTAGCTGCTACAATGTCTGCTGCCCCCCATTCCTTAATTTCAACTGCCTGCAGTTCTGTTAATCTTCAAACTGACCTGCTTCACTGTCAAACTTTTCTTACAAAACACAAGTTCAAAGACAAAATTCTTAGGAATTTCAAGATTAGGACTCTAAACCAAGAGCATTGAACCTTCTGAGTGTGGGGCCTTCCTTAGCACAAGATTGTGTGATTGCATACGTTGCATGTCCACCAAGCCAGGTGTGTGTGTGTGTGTGTGTGTGTGTGTGTGTGTGTTCTTTTAGGTAATGCTGATAAGGAAGGACTATTTCATGAAGTAGCATTTGATCAGGGTCCTCAAGAAGAGAAGGAAGAAAAGCCTGCAGTTACTGGGAAAAAAAACAGTATGCTCAGAAGTCCAAAGGAATGTGCATTTTTGGCTTATTCTCAGAAGAGTAAGGAGGCTACTGTGACTGGATCCATAAGTGATAGAGTGAGGGGTAGGAGATGAAATCCAAGAGGCAGTGGGTCCCCAAATCATGCATGGCATCAAAGTCCAGGGTAAGCACTTGGCATTTCCTCTGAGGAGTTGGGAAGACTTGAGAGTTTGAGAAGGGGTGGGCATGCCATGGTTGGATTTCAGAAGGATCCCTGCACTGTGGTGATACTCTGTTTAGAAACAAGGTTAGAAGTGATAGGGCGAGTTTGGAAGAAGTCTCTGTTAGACTAGAGAATGCACAGAGTGGGCTTTGGTCTGGGTGGCATAGCTAGGAGTAATTATGCTTGGATTCTAGGCACAGTTCAAAAACAGTGCTGGACCAGCAGTTAGCATAATGGCTATGTGGCTGGACTCCCATGTAGTCGGCCACAGTTCGTGTCCCGGACCCGGTGGCTTAAAACTCACCTGGGCGCATGTGCGTGCATGCCCAAGATCCCGAGAGGAGAATGGAGGAGAAGGGATTGTGGCATGGCCATCCCCCTTGGGGGGCTGATTTCTCACTTTCTGTCTGTCTGTCTCTGTCTGACAAGCACACATGCCCTGTAGCAAAAACCTCTCCAAAAATAAAACAAAACAAAACAAAAACAGTGCCAACAGGAGCTGCATATGAAGTGGATGTTTACCTGGTTCTGGCCAGAGAGAGCAGATGAAAATGGTCCAGTGAGAAGGTGAAAGTGGTCCCACGAGGTTCTACAGCCAGGATCTGAGAGAGCTGAGGAAGGCAGAGAACAGAAGTCCTATGTATTTTTTCAGCTGTTCTCCTCCTACAGTGTCTCTAGGCTTCCCCCCAATAACTTATATTTGCATCCTCTCTTGAGCCTCTTTACTTGTGTAGCTGCATGGATTAAATCTCTGGGATTTCATCATCTGTCTATAACCAACACCTTGGAAGAGTTTCTCAGAACATGAGGTCCTGGGTGAGGTGACTACCACTAACCCAGGTGTTCATGGGCTCTGCCTAAGGATTGCCTCCCTCCCACAGTTTCATTTCAGTAGTGTACTGATAAGCTTCTCTCCATTTCGTTTTACTCAATATCTCTGGACCTTCCTCACTAAAAAAAAGCTTATAAAATGAAGATTTTGTCACTCAGTTTGTAAGTACACTTGCATCACATACACATCCAAATGAGTTGACAACTTTTGGCTAATTATTTTGTTTTTCAGCACTTTCAGACCATGCTGAAGTCTAAACTGAATGTCCTAACACTGAAAAAGGAACCTCTCCCAGCGGTCATTTTCCACGAGCCGGAGGCCATCGAGCTGTGTACTACCACACCGCTGATGAAGACGAGGACTCACGGCGGCTGCAAGGTATGGAGAGTGTGACCAGCCTGGGTTCTCTAGGCAGGGCAAGCTACAGACTGTGGTGGGGCTTTGGAATATTTGTTTCATAATGATCTCCGTTCTTAAGAATGAAAATATAAAACAGCTAACCTAGCCAGTACGTTGAGCGATGGTAGAATGGGTTCATCTCCTGCTCTAGTTTTCTTAATGCTACAACGCTCTTCATTATGTTAGGGCACACATTAAAGAATATATTTTAGTATGTGTGAATAAAATGGAACTTTGGACTTCATAAGGAAAAAGTTTTATTTTTAATGATATTTCCTTTCTTTCATATTTGCAATCTGAATAAAACATTTTAAAATGTAAAGAATGGAAAACACAACAAAACAAAAACAAAAACCAAGTTTTCCAACAGTTGTACTCTGAGTTCTTTGGGGATAATTTCACATTTTTGCTTTGCTTCAGCTTTCAAAATTGATACTAATTTTCATGCCTTAGAATCCATAAAGACGCATTTTCATTTATGCAATCTGTAATGTCGACGTGGAGACAAAACTAGAAATGAAACGCGTAATTCTGGTAAGCTTTGGGGGTCTTTCTCACATGATATCCATTTTTGGCTTGCATTGGTGCATGCAGTCATCAGCTAAGAGGTAATAAAGAAAATATGTTTTATGCATATTTGTCATCAGAAATTTGTTTTGAGCAGTGAAAATAAAGTCAGGGTTAAGGAAAATGTGTGTTTGCATATGGATTTTTTTTATAACCTAGTAGATATCCTCCTTTCTACATTGCTTTCCTTATTGCTTTCCAGATACGCGTCTTTCCTCATTGCTTTCGGTCAGGGAAGCTGTTCTTGCTTAGTTGTGAGCAGGTAGGAACTGAAAGAACCCTGGGGGATGATGCTGTGCATACAACCTGACGTCATCCCTTCACTCCACACGTCCTTATTGGTGCTCCCTGCCTGCCAGGCCCTGGAACCCTATGTGAGCAAGGCCCACCAGAATTTTTATGGTATTTTACCATTATTTGGAGGACAGGGAGGAGAAAACAGTAAACCAGCATTGGTTGGCAAGAAAGCCAGTGTCTGACACACTTCTGGAAGAGTCTTTCAGGCAGAACAAACAGGGGATATAATACTGTGGAATGGAAGAGTCCGTGTACCTGGAATGCTGAGAAAGCTGAGGTGAGCAGGGGTCTGGCAAGGAAGATCCTTGTGGTTTTGGTGAGAAGTTTGGATTTGTTCTAATTACAATAGAGAACCATCAAAGGAATTTAGGAAAGTTAGTTATATGTCTCCAATTTCTTTTTTAAGAGAGATTTTTGCTATAGACCATGTGTGCTCACTGGAAAGACAGAGACAGAGAGACAAAAAGCAAGAAATTGCTCCCCAGTGGGGATGGCCATGGTGCAACCCCTTCTCCTCCATCCTCCTCTCAGAATTTGGGTACACAGGCACATATGCCTGGCATGAATTTCAAGCCAATGGGTCAAGACTTGAACCGTGGTCGACCATGTGAGAGTCCAGCAACATGACCATTATGCCATCTGCTGGTATGTACATGACTCCACTTGAAAAAGGGATTTCACATGGTAATTTGGATAAGGTGAACTTCCATCTTTCTAAGAGCCATCGTCAGTGAACTCAGCTTTAACTGGAGAGTAGACTTCAGAACTGGCCTTAGGTCCTATTGTATTTAATGCTTGTGGTACACTGATGACATGAAGGAAATATAAAGAATATTCATTAAATTTGAAAGTAATATGAGATCGGGTTCATTATCTATCCTTTAGAAGATTTATTGAAGTTAGTTTGAATTCTGTTCCTCTAGGGAAGATGGTGCCTCCAAGCAAAATGATGTCAGTAAGTGCAAGTCTAAGGAGAAGAGTTTAGTTTGATAAAGATTTAAAAAAAAAAAAAAAGCCCCACAGTTAAAGAATAAAAAGATCTAGCAATCTAAGTCAGCCATGGAAGGCATTTTGTGTGTGTATGTGTATAAAATTGGAAATTCATGCATAGGTTTTTCATAATATGCATTTTCCATGAAAAAAAAAAAACTGCATGGATTTCAAACATTTTTTGTGCCAAAATAAATTCATATTTTTTCATAAACCTTAAAAAAGTTTATTTCATTACAGAAGCTAGAGAGTACATTACATATACACATGCACGTGAGAGAGAAAGAGAGAGAGAAAGTACTGCAGTTCAGAATCCTACCAATTTCTCCATTGAAGCAGGGTTTCCATGAACTTTTTGAAGTTTACTTATGTATGGAAGAGGGAATGAAAAATATTTGGCTAGGAAAATAAAAAGCTTAATTTTTCTGAAAAAGAGTTTAAGGTTCAAGATTTATGGAGTAAGCTTTTTCTATGTACTATCTTAGGTTGTAGTCGTTTCTTTTACTTGTGAAAAATAGGATGAAAAAACAGGAATTCAGAAGAGCAGGCCAAGGAGGGCGAGAGTTGCCTGGACTTCAGTGTGTGGGCCTAGCTGGGTGAGGGGAAATCAGTAATGATTGCAGTTGGACGCAGGAAAGAACTTCTGCATTCAAGGTGAAAAACTCATTCCATGGGGCTATAAAAAATGTATGAACTCTCTATTCATAATATGCTTTCCCCATAAAAAAAAAAACTGCATGGATTTCAAACATTTTTTGTGCCAAAATAAATTCATATTTTTTCATAAACCTTAAAAAAGTTTATTTCATTACAGAAGCTAGAGAGTACATTACATATACACATGCACGTGAGAGAGAAAGAGAGAGAGAAAGTACTGCAGTTCAGAATCCTACCAATTTCTCCATTGAAGCAGGGTTTCCATGAACTTTTTGAAGTTTACTTATGTATGGAAGAGGGAATGAAAAATATTTGGCTAGGAAAATAAAAAGCTTAATTTTTCTGAAAAAGAGTTTAAGGTTCAAGATTTATGGAGTAAGCTTTTTCTATGTACTATCTTAGGTTGTAGTCGTTTCTTTTACTTGTGAAAAATAGGATGAAAAAACAGGAATTCAGAAGAGCAGGCCAAGGAGGGCGAGAGTTGCCTGGACTTCAGTGTGTGGGCCTAGCTGGGTGAGGGGAAATCAGTAATGATTGCAGTTGGACGCAGGAAAGAACTTCTGCATTCAAGGTGAAAAACTCATTCCATGGGGCTATAAAAAATGTATGAACTCTCTATGCCTAGACATTGTGAAGAGGAGATTGTGGGCATAGATAATCACCACCCCAGAGTCAGGGATCCAGGCCAACACCTCTGGGTCTCTTCCAGCATCATCCCTCTATCTGAAGTAAGCAAACCTGCAAGGTGTAATTCTCCAAACTGAATGCTATTGACTTGATACATTTCCATTTTAACTGTAAACATATTGAATTACATTCTTTAATTCTCAAGAACCATATCACGTATGTTTGTGTTCAGAGATATACTTTTTTATTCAAAAGTAAAAATGCTTTTTGGACCTTGAAATTTTGGCTTAAAGCCCTGAGACTTTCTTCAGTTTTTCTGATCATCTTCAAGAACAAAGTCCAGTGTTTCCTCTCCTTCTTGTGCGTATGAGTAACTTAGCTCACCAGGCACCAGCTGCAGGAGGAATTCCCCTCCGACTCACGCCTCCAGGAATAATGAGCACAATGTAGCCCGAGCCCAGCTGCAGGGCCAGCATAGGGGACCCTCCATCTTCACACAGTGCTAGTTCTTTTTGCCTAACAGCTCTCAAGTTGTGCTTGCATAACTTTGGGTTTGGGGAGGGAACGCGTCAGGAGGAAGCAAAGGAAAGAGAAATTGAGACTGGGTTCTGGTGAGCACCGCTGAGACCTCCGCTCATCTCAGATTCTCCAGTTTCCTCTGATCTGTATGCTCCGTGGGTTCTGATGGGATTGCCTTGCCAGGCTATTCATGTTTAGGGCAGCTGGGTCTTTGTGTGCTCTCCTCTATTGCTGCCACTTTCTTCCCCCCACCCCAGAGTAGAGTTATTTAACTACACACCCCACTGCATCCCATTAGTACTCATACTGGAGCTGTTCCGAGGCTCAGACACTGTGTCTGGTTTTGCAGTAGCAAGGAGAGCTTGTCACACCTCTCTGTATCTGCCTAGCACAATGGAGCCATAGGTGGCTTCAGCTTGTTAGCAAACATTTATTGAATAGTCATTGAAAACCTACTGTGTGCATGGAATCATGGAGAAAGAAAACAGAGTAGGCATGGTGGGAGATGTAATGAACAGTTAAGTAGAAAGGATAAGATGAGGAAGTGCTTCTTAAACTTCTGTGCGCAGCAGAATTCCTGGGAAGGAAAACTCCTGGACCTTCTTTTCAGAGATTTGGACTCAGGTGCTCAGGAGCCTGCAGGCTCAAATACACCATGTTTTATGTGCAGATGAGCCATGCTCTGACCTTGAAGACCTGAACCACAGAGTGGTCTGTGACGAGCAACACCAGGACATTAACAGGCACATGCCCTGGGAGGGTGGGAATGGAGTGGGTAACAGGCTCTGGATTTACCTTAGACCAGGAAGCTGACCTCTGAGGAAGAACAGGGCTCTGGAATGACCGCCTCAGATGTGTGCTGCATAAATACCACTGAATCCTCCAGAGGGCGGTCTCCTGTTTCATATTAAGGTATTTCCAGGCTTACTTACCAGTATCCTCAGGTCTTTAGAAACAATGATAATAGTAAAAAAGAGCAATGAAAAGACTAGTAATATAGAAATAGTAATAATATGGTGCCCATGTTTATTAATGCAGGAAGTACTCGTCTGTGCCTTTCTCCTGAATAGAACCATTTCATGCTCATGACAAACACAGCGGTTCAAGTGTGTGTGTAACCCCATTTCAGAACGAGCTCACTGAGGCACAGAGAAGTCCCTCAGCCTGTATTCCCCACAGGGTTCTCCTGCCTCTCAGCGACCACCGAGAGCTTTCTGTGTCTCCTCACAGAGAGCTCTTAAAACCAGTGTGCCAGTTCTGTCCTGTGATTTCAAGCAAGTTATTTCTTTGCTATGGGCCTCAATTTCTGTATTCCTCATGGC